CACACACACACACACACACACACACACACACACACACACACACACACTGTGCATCCCGTTTCAGCACTCAAACCCACTCACCCCACCAGACAACTGTCACAGTTCATTCATGTTAATACTACAAGTCATTTTGTATTCTGCCACAACAGCTTACAGCTAATTATATGTCTCATAAATTATATATGTGCCGTTGGCTGAAAGGAAACAATTTGCATTTTATTAAATATGCTCCACGCTGGATGAAATCACGCACGGGAGGCTGATGTATTTACAGCGCCTCTTATTTCACGACCATTACAGTTCATTTTCATAAATCTTGTTCAGCTGTGTGGTGGTGGGGGGGGTTGGAGGACTTACCTGTGCACAGGAAAAGCGCGGTGAGTCCCACGCACTGGCGCGGCCCCATGTCTCTCCGCGGACTCGTGCTTATTCGGAAGCTTTCAGCGGAAAGCGGCGCTGCGTTGCGCACAGCTCATCCACACGGAGCAGATCTCCATCTGAGGCAAACTTCCGTGCGCCACCACCTGCTGTCACACAAACGAGCGGTGTTATTCGGACAGGAAATTGTTATTCTAAAGCATGCACACGAGGAAAAAGTGAACAGATGTGGTTGATTATTTTTTTTTTTGTTTGTTCCAATAAAAGAGCAAACATTGGTTGAATTAGAGCAAATGCCCCAGGGTGCGTAAAACCAACCCGTCATGACCAAAATTAGGAACTTCTTTACCAAACACCTTATAGACTGGAAAACAGGCACTACGCTCCAATAAATCATAAAACAAATCACTTTATCATGAGCTAATAGGATTCAATTGTGAGAAAGTGATGCAGTGTTGGATAATTCCTGCGCCTCTCACCATTTCTTTACTTCCTCAGAACACGGCGTCGCGTTTTCCCCACGATATTTTGTGCAAAAGAAATAAATCAGGTTGTGATATTTTCCTTCCAGAAAGCAGAAAAGAGAAAAATTGTGGCAATCCAAGTGAGACATCCAAAGAGTTCCTCTTTCTTATTTTGTAAAAACGCTTGGGTGTTTGTAAGAGACACGGTCCTCTAACTTTCCAATGGGCGAAGACGCGTGGCTCAGATGGAGTGACTCCTGCGCCGTGGCCGCTCCGCTCCGCACCCCGGTGGCTCTGGATGCTGGCGCAGAACCTGAAGGGTGGGTGCTGAGATGAGGAGCAGGAAGAGGAGGGGGAGGAAGGGGGTGGGGGTAGCTCTCCGGGCTGGGTTGGCAAAAGGGTTTTGCGGGAAGCACATTGAAATTCCAAATTTCTATCTCATAATTATTGCGCCTGTAAAGGCTTGGAGAAAATAAAAGTTGAGTTTGAACTCCACACATCTTATGATGGTATTAATTACATTTTCGGTTGGGTGGAGAAAAGTGAATGACTGCTGGGACTCAGGGATTAAATGATAATCACAGTTTAAGCAGAGGGAAAGCACGAGTTTCTGCACTTATATTGCGTGGAAATGTAGCGTTTTATGCATGGAAACCGTTTTACGCATGCAGAGCAAGCCATGAAAACACGTGTGATGGCTGTGAGGCACAACGTGAAATCATTGAAAAACATTTAGATGTTTAGGGAGTGCGCACTGAAGCTCAAATTAAAATGAGTCACAACGACAGAAAAGCGTAATTGTTTAATTTGATCTCTCCTGAAACCTGGGAGGATTTCAGACGTGCAGTCTGAGCAGACAGCAGAGTGGTGCAACCTGTTGTGTTCAAAGTGTGTACAGTACTTCATGAGAGCCAACAGTGCCCTCTATGGGCCCCCCCTGGCTGCAAGCAGCTGCCTTCTCTGAACCTCAGGAGTCAGTCTTGTTGGAGAAGACATGAAGGAAAATGAGCCATCTTCAGAGAAACAGCAGGTTCGAGGTGACGAACGCGAGGCATCAAGACACAGAGTTTGCAGACAGTTTGGAAAATGCATTAATGTCACTTTGGGTAAAATATGTTTAAATTCAACAGGTGACTATGGATATATGGCATTTTGAGTGCTGAATGACCACTGAAACTCTGAATTATTGATGTTAAAACAAGCCATACGGACACTTTTCTCCTGCTTAACAGTTGCTAAAACCAAAATTAGCAGCTTGAATCAGAAATTAGCCAAACTGATTAAGTTTTAAAATTAGCCAGAGTAGCTAAAAGGTAAAACCTTCGATTTTAAAGCCCAATTATAGCAAAATTGTAGCTAAAAAGCAAAAAATTACTGTTGTTTTCTAAGACGCTGGACTCAATCATAAAAGTCAATTGTCTTTTGTGGCATTTATTTATTAAAAAAGAGAAATAAGGTTGAAAAAAAATGAAACAAGACAATAAAAGGAACAAGAATAATGTCACAGCTCACACTTCCTCAGGTTACATGAGTCTCAGTAATTTGCAGCCCTGTGACATAAAAACAAGGATTTTATATATTCTAAGGCCCATGATTTGCACAAGTTCCAACTCACAAGCCAGTAAGGCTCCAGATCCCTCAGGGTGGTGAGGATGGGGGTGTGCATGAGGAGCCAATGGCTGAAGCCTGCTCCACTGCCTAAAACTGGAGTCACAATGATGGGTCTTAAGATTCAATAATGTAGACAGAACATTCTTACCTGCAAGAAACTGTAACGCCTTTGTGTCCACGAGTCATCCTTAACATTTATAACTAAAAACAACATTCTCAAAACACAGATAAGAAACAGATCATGTGTAGTTTCTTTCAGCTGCTCCCTTCTATAGGAATTGCCTCAGCAGGTGAACTCGCATGAAAGATTTGGCAGTTGTTTTACACTTGATGTCGTTCGAGACAAAAGCTGGGCTCAAACTGACATCCCATATATCAGATAATATAAATCTTCCATCAAATTCCCAAAACAGGAAAAGCTAAAATTGGAAAGAGGGTAGCTACAAGTTTTGACGAACCCAAGAAGATTAAAATAGAGCAGAATTGACGAAACATAGTTTTCTGAACAACTAACGGGTCTATGCAGGGAAGTTTCAGCAAAAGAAGTGAATTTTTTTTTTTTTTTTTTTTAAGTGTAACAGTTCCAAATATTAAAAATCATCACACACTAACTCGGATTGAAAAAAAAATCTTTTATTATAAAATAATAACTAAAATTTGTCCAATGCACTTTTTATAAAGCTTACAACCTTAAAGATTAGGTTTCTTTACACAACCTCATATAAAGTGGACTTAAATCCTTTAGTCATCAAACTGCTAGTCAATAGATTTCTGTTCTCTGTGCCCCATGCTGGGTAAAAGCCCAGTAGCTAAGCCTCCAGTGTACAACTTGACTATTCTTCAAGGGCAGAGTGAACAAGCCACTAAGAGGCACATAAACCAGTGACACGCTGAAAGGCAGCCAGAGGAACCACCCTGCAGCTGCAGCCTTTTCACAACCGAGCTGAGCAGCGATTACAGGCCATCAGAGAGGCAACAGACAGACCCTGTGAGCTTAAAGGAGAAAAGCTCCCTCTTCCATTCTCAGCTCCACTTTCTGCTCCTCTACAACCAGTTCACCAAAATAAAAGCACATTGTAAATGTTTCTCTCAAGCCACGTGACAAAAACACTCAGCTGGTTCTTGAGGGTCACAGAAAACCAGAATATTGTCTTGGTGCCGTTTTACATTCTGAGTCCTATAAACATCTGCGGCTTCATGTGAATTCAGGTTGTCGTGTTTTCTTTGTCGTAGCTCATCATAAAAATATATATCTGTATTTTCCGACATATAAGTCGCTTTGGAGTATAAGTTGCATCAGTCAAAACAAAAAAAAAAGCATCATGAAGAGGAAAAAAACATATATAAGTCGCTTCGGCCTATAAGTCACAGGACTGGCAAATCTATGTAAAAAAAAAAAAAACTGACTTATACGCCGGAAAATACGGTAATAAATAGGCTACTTCATGTGTGTGTTACAAAACGACATGTGTAATTACATAAAAATGATGTGCAAATTATGCCCAATTAATGCTCAGTGGAGTCATAAAAGCTTTATTTTTTACCAGACTCTCATAAGTCTCATATATAAAGTATTTTCTTTCATTTGATTTCATAAAGCATTATTCCATCTTTTATATTTCATAATAAATATCCAGGTTGACTTTTAATCAGGCATTCCTCTTGGTTGAAATGCTGCTAGTCTAAAAATAAAATAAAATAAAAGTTTATTATGGTCATTGTTAGTTCTAATTATGCAGCTGCTGCATGGATGGAAGACAAAATCAACTTTGTGCTATACTTTTGTCCTTAAACTTTTTTTTTTCAAAGTACAATTCAGAAATTATATCCAAACATTCAGGATCCTGCATTCTAGTGAATTTATTCATACACTTCTTTGGCTTCTTTTGTAGGTTATAAAACAGAAAATGTACAAAGGGAAAAAAAAACTGAATTTCACAGGATTTAAATAATTTGTTTCACATAACAGTTTGCATGGAAAATATTTTACAAGTAAAAGCACATTACTCAGCAGGTTATGTAATAATATTTTTTTTTAGGAGCAGTGAAAAGTTTTGGTGCATGTGTTCATTCTGCACTGACACACATCATAGAGGCAAAGTTTTACAGTGTAGATTCCCACCTGGTGGGTTCAATGCAACGTCACTCTGAGCATTTTCAGGGTTTTGCACCTACTTTCCCAGTAGCATTCGTCATGCATCCTTTAAGAATGTACAATGGTAAGACTGAATATGACAGGCTGAATATAAAAATATGAAAAAAACTTTGCCCACTTTCCTCATTCATTTTATTTTTTGGAACTGTGTTCTTCTATGTCAAGAAACGGGCATAACAGAAAACAATATATAAATAAATAACCACTTGGGGATTATTTCACACACAAAACAGTGTACATATTTTACAGCATTGTTAGTTCAGAATTATGAAGTAGTGTTTTCTGGAAACATTTTGAAAATATTGTTTTGGAAAAACATTTAATTCTGACAGGATGGATGAGCTTACGTCTAATCCAAATGGTGTCAGAAGCAAAGTGGATTTCTGCATCTAAAAAAAAAAAATAACTCCAATTTTAAAACACTTACAGTGGTTCATGCCAAAAATACTTTATAAATACTTACTTTGGTAACACATTTTTGCATTACAAATTGGAAGAATTGTTGCAAAATCTTTGATAGAAGTGACCCCAGGCTGCACCAGAACCATAACATCTAGCTGCAGCTCCTGCTATTTTACACTTGCAAAGAACAATGAAACCTACATTAATAGCCTCTTAACAACATTACCTGTAAATTAATTACAATGATAAAATAATTGATCATAACCTTTTTACAGAAACCTACTTTAAAAAATATGAATTATTTTAAACCTTGATATTGCAAACCATACACATTAATAAGAAACTGCCTAGGAGTCAGCAAGGACTAGAAGGAAAGTTAATGTGGAATGAGCCTAA